GTTAACATAATTGATATTACGAGGAAGCCTTGTTAAATATATTCTGTTAGTTTTACCTATACAAATAAAGACGCATATTAGGGGTATCCAATTCATATCAGTTTCCTATCAAGACTCAGAAATATACATTTTTATTCATAATTATCATTATCATCATCATCATCATCATCATCATCATCATCATCAGGAACTCGGAGCCTATCCTAAGTTAGCGGGTGATTAGGCCTTAGTCAACCAATGTTTATTTAATTAATAGGAAAATAAATTATCTAAAAATTGAGACCTCAAAAGCGATCGACAACGTTCACTTCGTATCTCAATTTTTATTAAAAATAAATAATAATAATGTACTCAATTTTCATGATTCCTCAATGAGTTCTAATTAAATTACTCCATGTAATTGAAATTTCAATATAATTTTTAATGAATACAATTTTAATGAATTGTACAAAGTTAAAAAAGACAACAGTAGCGTTGGATATAAAAATTGTCAAATAAAAGCGGTACGGAAGCCGCGTACCGACAATTTGTATTGTTGTTGTAACTAATGGATCTGTTAAAAACACCACTTTTCCGGTACGAATCTGATTTTTACGAGTATACCAGTGTCACTTGTTATGTACGGTGTAATAAAACACTTTTACAGTGGACGCTCTTTCAAGTTTACATTTTACTTTTGTTTTTTGCTTTAATATTCCATAAAAACATACAGCATTTTCAAGTAGTTATTAACATAAAAAAGGTCATAATATCTTATTTACTTAAACTATTACACAACCGTTTAGTCGCGTTTTGATTCTTATGAGCTTACTAGCTGTTCCCGCGCGACTTCATCCGCCTGGAATCATGATTTTTTTTATTGTTTATCTGGAAATACGTGTTTCATTTCTTCGTGTGGCAACACATTTTGATATTGCAAATTTTGCTATTTTATATTTAACTAGCTGTTCCCGTGCGACTTCATCCGCATAAAATTATGAAAATATTGTTTTATTGTTCTCAAATTCTCAATTGCAAATGTCAAAATGCCAATGACTATGGCAATCTTCCTTCTTGATGTTGGCAGCTCGTATCGTTTGGTCTCTTTCCCACATTAGGGTTTTTATCAAAATATTTACCCCCAAAGTTTAATGGCGTGAAAATATATAGCCTAAAGCCTGACGTAAGTGTATGGCTTTTTATTAAAAAATGAATTTTTCAAAAATATGGTGTAATTACTGACATCTTAGACAACAAAGAAGTATGTGTTTACGCTTTATTATAATAGTATAGATATAATGCGCACACTACTCAATTTTTAGTTGTGCAACAAAACTGTTGAATTGGCTGTGAAACAATTGACAATCGCACAACAGTTGTGCGGTAGTTTAGTTAGTAATTTTCACCTCCTCTTAAAAACTAATTGTACAGGGATTATTACTTGAATGTAAAATCGTTGGAGGTCTAATACTTAAATTTGTTGAACTAGTTAATATTGATATTTTCCTTTAGAAATTTAATATTTAACCACTTTTACCCCATTCTATCTTTCAACATGTTAAATTATTTAACCAATTTCTACATGTCCTTTCTAATCTGAAAGGTTTACAGATAATTATCTGAATACAGTCAGAGATTTGCTCGTTCCAGCTACGGATTTAGCTAATACTGCCTTTACAATGTGGAAATTTGCATACAATGGTTAGGAACATTGTGTTCACACAAGATTACAAACAGTAATGATATTAGTGATGTCTTGTGGAAGATGTAGTTAGGCTTGGCCTTTAACATTGTAATATGTGCATATACAAATAATATATGTTGAGCAATCAGCTTAATTTAGTCTTCAAAAGAACAGAAAAAAAAATTGCAATGTAATTCGATGTTTTTGTATAGTTTCTGTTCTGGAATGCTAGAATGCTGGAATTTTAGAATAAAATAAAACATGATTATTCGAATGTCTCAAGTCCTTAGTTTGTATAGCAACGTTTTATGTATCCGTCTCTCGGAAAGAAAATAAATAATTGTAAACTACCCAATGTGAATGTGCAGTGTTCTCATTTTTAAGAACCTAAAAGAAGATATCATACTAATATTATAAATGCGAAAGTTTAAATGGATGGATGGATGGACGTTTGTTAGAGTTTATTTCCTAAACGGCTTAACGGATTTTAATGAAATATGGTATGGATGTAGAGGATGGTTTGGAAGGACACATAGCCTACTCACTTTTGTTTTTTTTTAAATTTCACGCGAACGGAGTCGCGGGCGAAAGCTAGTTGTATATAAATAAATATGGGAATAAGTAATTAATTAAGATTTTCTATTTACCATAAAGTAATATTACAATCCGAAGCGTGTTTTCCGTCGCCAATAAATACTAATTTACGTCTTTCGTAATCCTCACAGTTGAAAAATTTATTCCGTGTTGAAGCAAGGATTTCCCTTGATATTATATTGGGTCGATTCATCATACTGCCAACTGAACGCAATACCGTTTCAACGAATAAATTGTACTAATTAAAATGGAATAGATTGTTGTGCTTTTAGAATTAGCTATAACTATAAAACTTAGACAAAATTTCAAACACATTTCAGCATAAACATACGTCAATACACCGTGAATCTAGCGGCCGGTGCAAATTTTTGACAAACCTTGGTTATTGGACCAAACCAACCGTAGCGAAATGTGACCTTCATAAATTACTCATCGAATATTATATATATAATGCGAAATATTGCAGCCATAAAAATCCTGCTCGAAGGACCATGAATTCATATACGCCTACGTCTGACAAATAAGACACAGCAGTTAGATGCAACACAAATCAGCAATTTATTTCTATTTTAGTTTTTTAATTATGTACATTTTTTGGAATTCTGCGGCAGATACACTCACACACACTTACACAGCCCCGGTGTGTACGAGCGCACACATCTAACTAAATTATCGCACTGTTGTGCGATTGTCGATTGTTTCGCAGCACATTCAACTGTTTAGTTGCACAACTAACAATCGAGTAGTGTGCGCACCTCCATATAACCTCATATGAATCAAAACGCGTCTAAAGAGTTATGCTTTAGTTTAATCAAAGATTTACACGCTGTACATATCAAACATAAAATTGTCCTCTTATTACATACCAGATACTACACTAAATATTTTTTTTACATTCATATAAATCACAATCTGTTTTCTCTTACAATAATTGTATTCGGGAATAGATTCACAAGCTGATCCCTAAACTCCCACCCGCAGTGCAATCAAATAAATTGAACGTATTCGAGTAGAAAGATAATAAATCCGTTAACCCTACAACCCGTAACATAGACTGGTAGAGCGCGCACACCTTTAACTAAATTATCGCACAACTTTTAAGTCGCGTTTCGATTCCAATAAGCTTTAGAGGAGCGCACACTATTCGTTTTTTAGATGTGCAACTAAACAATTGAATTGGCTGCGAAACAATCGACGATCGCATAACAGTTGTGCGATTGTTAAGGCAAAGTTGTGCGCCCGCTCTTAGAATGTTATGTTAAATATTTCGACACAAATGACTTCCTTTAAAATATAGACGGACGGCCATATTAACAATAATTGTAAATTACGAGTACTTTAAAACACACAAACTGAACTCCAATGCGACAAAGCAAATATGTCGAACGTTCCGTTGTGACGACTAGTAAAACACTGAGCTTGTTGGCGACTGAGCGCCGAGACTGCAACTGAGTGCCTGAGCCACTCCTTGCCATATATTTTATAAAACTACCTCCCCACTATTCCTTCCGTTTCCTAATATTTTCCTAACAATATTGTTGTTTTAAATAAAGATAAATATATTGATGCACAGATTAATAAATAACTTTTACAGAATACATCAAAAATAGTTAAAAAGCTAACAGTTATATCTAGACTAAATTGTTTATTTGACTGTAAAATGGTGTGGCAAAATTCAAACCGTTTTAATCCGATTTGTATCTTTTATCTAAGAATTTTAAAGCTTTGTATTTTTTTATCATAATATATAATTAATAGTGTTTTACGCTTTTATAGTTTCAGTTTTTGCGCCATTAGTCAATTTACAATTCGTACGTGATGATTTTATTACTAGCATATTCCGTTCTTTATATCCTTTGAACCGTTTTGAATTGCTTAAATTCACCCTCTTTGTTCTCAAATGAAAAAATCATTTATTCATGCCTCTCATTGTCTATTGAAAATTAATGAAAGGCGAAATTACTTGTTCAATATTTTCATTCTATGATTTCTTGAATCCTAATTTATGTTATTGTTTCAATATCTATTGCATTTAAAATCAACGTGGATTCATAAAGGATTTTCTGTCTTACAATTTATTTGTAACTCGCTTTCTCCCGCGACTCTGTCTGTGTGGAATTAAAAAAGTCAATAGCGAGTAGCCTATGTATATACCCAGACTATCCTCCACGTTTGTGCCAAATTTAATCGACATCCGTTTAGTGGTTTAGGCTACAAACTCTAACAAACATCAATCTATCTAAACTTTCGCAAATATTGTTTAGATAGTAAAAAAAATGACCTTGGGTGGGGTCGATTGGTTCAACGAGAAACTCATGGTCGTGTATATTTTCATTTACCGTAAATATTTATGTGCACGGAAAGGATTCTGAGGTTGAGGGTCCTATAATCGCCTTAATCTAGATAAAATCAATATTCTATTCTACTATTTATATTCTATAAAAAACAAATAATGTCTGTACATTCAACCTCTTTAAAACTAATCTCTATAAATGGATAGGGTCATTATTTGAAAATGACAACTGTTACTTCGATCCAACTTAAAGACGCCTGTTGACATTAGTGACAAGAAATTCTATATCTATTTTTAGTTTGAATCTTCACCACCACTGCCAACTGCAACCATCAGCGCCACAATGACGAAAATCTAATAAGCACAAAATACCACATCTATAGCCTGTCCATTTATAGTAGTGATTGTTCTTTAGTAATAAATCTGACATGTCACATATTTACAATTTTCTATAATTTACGTCATTGAAATAATGTTTTATAGGATATTTTATTAATAACGGTTTAAATTATTGTCTTAATCGGTTAAATGAGCGCAGAAGAGAGTGTTATCACTATCACAGAAGATGACACTGGAAATAAAGCAGAAAACGTTGGAGATAACGACGAACACAAATACAAAGTATTCGATGATCCTGTTGAAAATGGTTCCGAAAAAGATGTTGAAGAAACCGAAATACCTTTATACGAGATACCAAAAGAAAATCAAAAATCGAAGGCGTTTGATGAGAAAGTTTACGTTGTAGCATATAATTCGGTACAACCTCAGAGAATTCAACGTAAGATTCATTTTGTAGTAACTAAATATAATTTAGAACCCCATCATCTCATTTTATCCTACTCCCTCAGGATCTGCGCGGTATTTTATCCTCCTGGTTAATCTATCTTCCGTCATCTCAGTTATTCCCTTCTTCATCATGTCACCTTTAATGCAATCTATCCATCACTAACATTTAGAAAATGCAATGAATTGAGGAAGTACTTAAGCGTAGAGTAAATATATGTTTGGATGTAAAGTAATGATTTTCCCTTCAATAATAAAATCAATTATATTTGAATTTAAGTCGAAAGTAATGGTTGGATCAGACTATAGTACCCACAGTTCAAATGCTCCTAACTAGGCATTATTTTACGATCAAAATAATCAGTGATGTCCTAAGAAAATATGTACCGAGGCTAGCCTAGTGTTACTTATTAATTACATTTTTATATGTAAATTTAACGCAGGTGCTGGAGGTATCGGTCCACCATTATACTATGATCCTGCACGCAATGACTTTGTTAAGTTGGTACTAATTCTTGTACTGATCATGTTATTGATAACGGCAGGTTTCTTAGCTATGGTTAACGCTTCGTAAGTATAAAATACAGTTATCAATGTAGATAGACACGTAATGTATTGAATAAACGAGAGGTAGACATAGAAAGAGATGGATTGATTGCGTGAAAGGTGACATGATGAAGAAGGGACTGATGACTGAGATGACGAATGATAGAGTTATGTGGAGGACGAAAACCCGGGACGTCGACCCCACGGGAGTAGGATAAGATAGGGGAAATGATGATAAAACGACTTCAGCAAAATTAGACGAGATAAGACAAAAGAGCTACGACTAATCCATAAAAATAATAGCAAACAAAACAAAGCGTCGATTTTCGGAAAAGAAGAGGTATTGTGAAGGTGGAACCGATTTAGGAAAAGAATATAGAAGAAGTACAAAAGAAGATAAAACCGGCTGTGATAGAAATAGACGTTAAGAAGACTTTGCTACATTTTTAGCTCGTCACTTAGGGGCGAGCCCTGAGGAGCCTACTCTAACTTAGTAGTAACTAGGCCATAGTCAACCACGTTGTCTCTTGTAACTTGAGTAGACACATATCGTTGAATTTAGTTGCAGATAAAATCAGTTCCATCGTGATGTTTTCGAACCCAGGACCGGCAGAATACGACTCAAACTAAACCCTTTACTCACCGACGCTCTTTTGTTACATTACAGTTTATGTGTCATAGATACTTGTTACATTTCTATTAAGTATATTTTTTCAGAGACGAGTGGCGTGACATGTTTGTTTCGAGTGGAACGACGTTACCAATGTTTGCACTGTAAGTAATTATTTATGTTGTAATATCTTTGTAGTTACTAACAGTGTTAAAGTTTTTAAAATTCTATTACGTGACAGTTTATAATTATTAAATTTTATACATCCTAAATTCAGTAGACAGACAGAATTTATGTTATTACTTTCAAAGGTTAGTTGTTTTCTGAAGGTTAAGAGTATTTGCTCTTAGCCAGTTTAAAGTTTTTCTTGAGAATATTCATTGGCTGCCTTAGTAATTTTTTCCCTGGACCGTGAGCACGTGCCCTTTTCGCTCGACTCCTTATTGTTAATATTAATGAAATCATCAATTAATTTTACTGATTTAAATTTAATTACATGTTACTTTGTATTCCTCTTTCAGGTTACTTCTAATGTGCGTTAACTATGCCTTTATATGTAGTGCTTGTGCAAGATATCCTCCATGCAATTTTGTCTGCTTGCTACTTGCGGTAATGTTCTTGATTTAATTTATAAAGAAAATATGTAGTAGTCAAATTACCTCTAAGTTAATTTTATTGTTGTTATTGTGACATTAGTAAAGTAATGGATATATTTATGAGGCATATGCGATGTGCGAAATGGGTTCCGGTCCCGTGACACAACGTGCACTGGG